ACTTTTCTATAGTACATCAATGATATTTCAATGGAATAAATTACTTATTGACTTATTTATACTTCAAAAACAGCATCAATAAGTGATTAACACAGAGGGGAACAAAATAAAATAAATAAATGAAATAAAAATCAACCAGCCACCCTCCTCCCCTGACAAGTCCCTTTATAAGTAAAGAACAGTCCCTAAAGTGCGGTGAGGTTTGTGGACACAAAGAGAGAAATGTGAACGGCTCGTTTCTCCTCTGATACGACACATACTGTGCGCCGCCATGGCTCGGCTGTTCAGGTACTTTTGGGCAGTCATGACAACAAGTTATTCACCTGGAGCCGGACTTCTCCGTCGCCGGTAAGCCGTTATAATGCGCCGCCGTATTTGACAGGAATACGTATTCCTGTCCATGTCTGTGACCCCCGTTCAACCCACAACCGGCGGGATTTGCCGTTTCGTTTCTGCTGCTGGTTGAAATCTGTACTCACACAGCGTGCTGAATGATTTATTTTGCCCGCACAAAACTATTTTTAGTTGCAAATGCAAGTGCGTTGACGGACGGAGTAAAATATCACCACACTGCCGACATTTTACTCCGTCCGTCACCACACACTGTTTGATTGCGTTATCAAAACACGCTGCTATTATTCGGCCTTGCTTTTCACTTATTCCACCGAATACCGAATGTGTGTTTTTTGCAATATTCGGCCGAATATATTTGGTGCATCCCTAAATAGGAGCCTTCCCCCACTCCCCCCTCCCCTCACCGCTGCTCTCCTCACTACACTGGCTGCTGCGCTGTGCAAGTGCACAGATGTCTCAGAGCGGTGGTGGTGCATTTGCAAAATAGATTGTTTTGCCGCTGCTGCTAAATGAATGTAGTGGAAACACTGTATATATATGTATTGTAGCGACCCTGCAGTAAATGTTCTGTTACAATGTCAATGTTCTGTGAGTTAATGGCATGTTTGGGATTGAATGAGTATAGGCAGGGGGGTGGGATGCGAGTGTGACGGGGATGAGGGCTGTGTGAGTGCGCATGCTGGTGTGTGTAGGAGCGAGCTGGAGGAGAGAGCAGGAGTGCACAGTTGGAGTTACAGCGAAGTTCTTGTTTGTTGGTTGTTTTAGCGTGGTTACGGCCAACAGTAACCTGTACTGTTTAGTAATAAACGGTGGTTTGCCGAATAACTGCGTCATCCTTTCCACACGTCATGTAGCCTATATATACTGTGTATTGTTTTTCGGCACTACCTTGTTCTCTATAGCTGATGTAACATGAATTACTCCTGTGTGGGATCAAAGTTCTTACCTTAGCCATCTGAGAAGATCAAATACATTGTTTTTGGTGCCTAACTGTTTCCCAAGTATATTAGTGTGTGTGTGAATGAATAAACGAGAGGCATTAACGTAAATTTCTTTGTAGAAAGGCGCTTTATGAAATTAAGTCCATTTACTTGTATTAGTTTACAGCGCAGCCTTGCCACATCCAATATGGTAGTGACGTTGACGTATCGCAGCAGCGGGCAAACCCACTCGATGCGGCGTCTACGTATATGTCTATGGTGTAACCAGCATTTAAGAGGCCATTTTGTTAATAAAGAAGGCAATGTAAAGAAGGTAATGTGACAGGAAATGTTATTACAGAGAGGGACCCCTGATGATCACAACTGCTGCATGACAAGGTTAGAATCTCTTAAAAATTACTCATAAATTGATGTTTTTAGGCTTTGGTCAGGTTTGGTAAGTGTACATGTCAAATGATATGACCCTAGAAAAACATAAATAATTCATAAGAATCATAAAATAAATATTTACTTTAAAAATTATGTTTGAAATATTGAGACTAAGGCCATGTGCTTACACAGGTGTCCATGGTAATGCCTGTCAAATTTGATTTTATTTACTTATTTATTTATTATTTAATTATGTCAAATATCAGCAGGTTATGACAGTAATTTGTCAGTAGTTTATGATGCTGATTAAAGATGTATTATAAGAAACTACTTTTGAACTTGTACAGTAGCTTTAAAATACCGAAAAATCCAATAATTCATGTAAAGTAGAAATGTTACTCAAACATTAAAATTTCTGTCTGTAAAATACAATTATTTACATTTCTGCTATTTCATTACAATATTTAATACACTCATAGAAAACTAAAGTAATCAAATTAAATAAATAAAATCAATTTACCCCATTAGATGCCAGTTTCTAACAAGGAAAAAGTAGCTCGTCATAGAGTGCTAATACTAATGAATGCTAATGAATGCTAATGCTGCAGCAAGGGCCAATTATGTCCTTACGAGTTGTTGTCGTCAGGTGACTTTTTCCCTTATCACAATTTAAAATACAAAACATAAAACATGAGTGATGATTATATACAGGAAAATAAATGTGGAGTAAAATGTGGAATAAATGTAATCCACTTTTGCAGTGCAACACTGTGTTTTTTAACAAATTGTACATAATTTGTCAAGCGTTATTTAGAAAAAAAGGGGGTGTTTTTAGGAAATGTCCTGCTCAATATTGCCAAAATGCATTAAAATTTAAATATAGAAATACTCCAAAAATATCTTATTTCAATTGAATGCTTTTAAAATAAAGAATATTTTTATAAGTACACTTAAATCTACTGTAGGTGGATAAAATATTTAATATTTATCATTCTTTTGTGGTTACACCATTTGACATTTTCAGGAGCATTCAGTCTTACTTTTGATAAGAAATGGGGCAAATGTCATTTCAAATGACATAAAACCAACAAAAATACTGAATGTACATTTTAGCAAATCTGATGCATGCTTTTAAAACTATTTTTAGATATATATATTAGAAGATATTTATGAATTGCTCATCTTGCCAACCCTTATTTGTCACTGACCCATGAACAGAAGTAGACAGGCGGCATTTTGCTGCACTCCCTGATTTTGTTTTTATACTGCCAATGCTGAAAGAAGACTGATTGGGCTTTCCTGCAAGTTTTCACAATTTCTATCTAAAAAGGGCTACACACACACACACACACACACACAGTTTTGAAGTCTGCTTTTTTATGTAGCTGTTAAGTTTGTGTGTACTTTAGCTACAGGAGGCGATTGAAAATACAGAGACAAAATTAGCATGTCAACTGAAGTTTTCTGTTTATTTATTTATCTAATTTATTTATTTACCTCATCTATTTATTTAGGGACAGAGGGCTTCAGTAAAAAGACACTCACCCAAACCTTAGACCCTCAAAGACAGCAAGGAAAAACTCCTCACAGGAAGAAACCTTGGGAGGACCTAGTCAGAGAGGGATCCCCCTCCGGGACGATCAACTGGTGGGTGTCTGGAGTGTCCCTGTGTTTAGATGCTGGTGGTCTGTGTTCACCTGAACATGATGTTGCTAGGTGTCAGTGATGTGATGATGCTGGGGTGGAGGGGATGTTACAGCATCTGTCAGGACTGATGATGTTACTGTCTGGATTTTTTAGGTCTTCTGTCATCCTCATCTTCCTCAACTCTTCCCCTTTTCCTGGATGTTGATGGAATTGGGTCCTCTTCTTCATCCTCAAACATTACATCATCATCATCTACACTGTCCTCACAGATGCTGTCGCAGTAGCTGTCACAGTCACTGTCACAGTCACTGTCGCTGTCTGCGAATTCATCCCACCACCTGAATCTTTTACTCTCTCTCTCCTCATCCTCATCATCTTCTTCTTCTCGAGCCCGCCGCCTGGATCCGCCAGGCAGCGGGTCATCCTCCTGCTCAGCATGCTGGTTGCTGTCCTCATCCTCATTGCCTTCTTCTTGAGGTGGGTCGTCTGCTGGTTCAGCATGCTGGTTGATTGCCATATCGACCTCTGTAGCTGGAACAACCCTGAAGGCTGGATCAACCTCAACATATGGATTGGTCCGGTTGTCACCATTGCCAAAATGGTGACCTGGAAGAGGCAGTTGTCCTAGTGCTGGAATAACTCCAAATAGCACCCTGAGCATTCTGTGGAAGATCGGGGGGGTGTCTCCTCAAGAGTTCATCTTAACAGGTCAGTTGTTCTGTGTTGAATCTCCTCTTGGGAAATATGCTAATGCTTCTAACTGACGTGTGTACACTTACCTCTGTTTGACAGGGTCCTACCCACAAACTCTGAATTCTTGGATTGTGATGTCATCAGTGACATCATCAGTGTCAGTGATCAGTCAGTTCTATTGTGACGTCATCAGTGTCAGTGGTCAGTGGCTTTCTGCTTTATCAAAAATGCTGTGCAAAACATAATCATATTTATATATTGAATGTGTTAGGTAAACATGATCAAATGCATCACTTCCATAAAATATACAGAGAATGGCATAAGAATTTGAGTCACCTCTATCTCTGCAGCTCTGTAGTCATCCAGCCTGCAGATGGCGGTAGCGGCGCGAGGCATCTGTACTCGTGTCCTTCCGCAATAACAGCAAGCAAAACAAATGTCGGGAGGCAGGTAGCCGGACAGAGGGCTGCACAGTTTCAAAGGCGTTTAGTGGACATTAAGACTACACTTTGCTATTTTCAGAATGAACACCAATTTGAAGCACTGGAAGGAGGCGGCTACTCTTATTCTGGTCGCGGGCCACCGGCTGACAGCCGCGTCAGGGTCACCGCTGGGCAGCAGCTACGGACGGTCACACCTGCAGCACAGGACCCACTTTGATTACGACGTGTTACTGCTGAAACGAAGCGGTAAAAGTGGTTTCATGCCCAATGCCTATGTGTTTCCCGGCGGCATGGTGGACTCCTCGGACTTTTCTAGTGAGTGGCTGGACATTTTTAAAGCTTTCAGGAACTCTCCAGACTTTGGACTGAGAGGGGTCACCCAGCCGGTGGACACCAGACCTCCAGTGTACGCCACAGACCGACTGAAACTGGGCTCTGCTATCTCAGGAGAGGTTGCCTTCCGGATCTGCGCCTTGAGGGAGACGTTTGAGGAGTCCGGTGTGCTCCTGGTTGTGTCCAAACAGGAGGAGACAAGGTTGTTAAAAAGCATAGAGGACAGGGGTGCCACTGAGGAAGTGCTGCATTGCAAAGTCAACGATCTGTACAGTAGTGAGCTCACCAGGTGGAGGGCTCTGGTGAACCAGAACCCCTCCAACTTCATCAGGATGTGCAGAGAGTTGGAGGTGCTGCCAAACATCTGGGCTTTACATGAGTGGAGCAACTGGCTGACTCCCAAAAGGAAATTCACTACGAGGTTTGATACAGCTTTCTTCATCTGCTGCCTGCAGGAGATCCCAGAGACACTCCAGGATGAGAAGGAGATAGAGCACTTTCAGGTGATACACAAATCCATATATGTGTCTATGAAACACATTAACATCAAATGTGACAGGGAAATGGACAGTTTTATTTTTCCTTAAGGAGAGACACATCAGGTGAATAGGATTAAATGTTTCAGCAACAGATATCACCATGAACTAAACTGATCACTGACATCAGGACAGTTATTTTTAGTATCACAAACATACTGGAATTTTATCTTTAAATATGCAAACAGTGAATTATATAATTTAACATGTACTAATTTGCATGAATTTACAGAACAAAACTCCAAATATTGGATTAAACCAGGCTCAAGATTCTTGTTAAGTTTTGTTGTCATATTAGAGTCAAAGGTTTTTACAGAGGGGAGTTTGGATATCTCTTTTTATAACTTCATAAATAAACTTCCTAAGTTGATTACTTATTACTATTACTTGTTTAAAATAATTTCCATTAGCCTGAAGAAGACCTGCTATGGAAGCAAAAATAGCCCAAAATTTCAAAATTGGTCAGTGCATGCAAAAACTGTTTTCACCTGGGGTGTCTCACCTTGAAATAAATTGAATTATGTAATCATTAGAGGTTTAGAGGATCCATCACTTATGTCATTTTCTTCAAGCAGAAGTGTGAAACAGTTATTTGCTTCAGCTTCTCAGCTGTCTAGATTTCCTGTTATTGTCCGCCAATAAGTAACAAGAAATTACAACACAGGAATACCATCCAGGTTTGAGGTCATTGACTCCTCTAACCTTATTCAACCCTAAACAGTGTTTCCATTACATAGTTTGTCTGCTAACAAATTGATTTTCAACTATAAAACACCATTCACTATGTAACATATTAAAAACTAAAACTAGATAGCTGCAAGCGGCTTTGATTGGGGTCCAAGCTGATTTTCAAGCATTTGGGTGCTTGTTTCTCATTTAATTGACGATAAGAAAAATTCTTGTTTTGTTTTGTTTTTTGTTTGTTTTGTTTTGCTTTTAATAAATCATCATGGTCCTCACTATATGATGATGCTCTATTGAGGCAGAGTATATAAATCAGCTTTCAGAGTTATAGCTTTTGACCTTCAGTGAAAACATGTTTCACACTACATTTGTGTTGAATTTTTGTGTTATTCAAGATCTGCATACCATGTCTAGTAATTTCTAAATAAATACTGCTACTGTGTGACAAGTGTCAAAACTTGTCCTGGAAAATGTAAAGATTCAGACCACACATATGGTGTCAAGTGTGGGCTACAAACGCCAACTCAATCTTTGCATCTAAATACATCCACCCAGCTACTGAGAAAATAAATTCACCAATGTGTATGTACAAGCATCAAAAATACCTAGAGACAAGCTTGGAAGGTTTTAACAGAATTAGATATGAAGTGAATGAAGTTCTATTTGTTTTGAGTTGAATATTAACCTTTATAATCACTTTACACATCTTGGATATTTGAGATTTGTCAAAGGAGATGGTGAATTTGAGTCTTGAAATTGACAGAGTAGCACAGGATGCGGCATGTTAACTTTAAAACCACAAGAGATGGGCAGAAACAGGAAGATGCATCTACCCAGGTGCAGTTAGTTTCCTTAGAATGTCTTCAACCCCACCCACCTGCTCCAAGGCCAAGAGGTCAAACCAACCTCACAAGCCAAAGGCAGAGAGAGGGATGTCACAAAACTTGGAAAAAATAAAAAAAACAGGACCACTGTTGGGGAAACAATTCTGAGAAAACAATATATTATCAACTTGTTTTTCTTGGGTGTATTGTCAAAGATTTTGGTGAAATTTTTGGAGAAAGTTAAGTATTTGCCCACCTAGAAATTTGATCCTTGAGGAGTAGGAGACTTACTCACTGCTTCACTAGGATAACATGGCTCTTCATGCAGCTGTTTACAGTACCATATTGCCAAATATTTCTGTGAAATCTGGTTAAAAATTAGATGAAATAAAACATGTTGTGCACACAGCACAAAGTACAATAAGGCATCGAATATAACTACTGGGTTACCAATTAACGGATCTGAACACCATTTGAATCATGATATCTAGTATCCAGAGAATATCTGTGTCAGTTCCAGTAGCATTTAAATGAGGACTTGTGGAGGTGTAGCCTACAGTACTGTGTGCCGACTGGTACTGTAGATGTTAAATGATTTTGCATATTTTGAAAAATATGTCTGGCGGACTTCTGAATAGAACACAGGTTGCAGTGAGGCAAACTTTTGTCACAGTACAGTGGATGTGCTGAAAAAAAAATCAGGTCTGTGGGACATACTGGGGATTTATTTAGATTTTTTTCAGTGTGAAAAACTGTATCCCAAATTTTGTACATTCCTTGTAGCCGATCATGAGTTATGACCTTTTTGCATTTGTGGCGCCCCCAAGTGGCAGAATATCCCAAGACTGTGACTCAAACTTAGCATCTGAGCATGTGCACCATGTTTGGGTATAATTGCTTAAGCTTATTTTAATTTATGAGTTATTACTTAAAATTTAACTAAAAGGCACAAAAATGTACAATATCAGTATGGGCTGACATATCTTTGATAACGTTAGATCTGGGATGTTGGTAGATGATCCTGCCAAATTTTCTAGAAGATTGGCCCAACGGTTTCTGACATGTTAAAAAAATGAGGATTTAAAAAAAATTAAGAGTTGCAGCATTTAACATTGGAGCAAATATGCACATGAATTAAGATTGATGAATGAGTCTAAGCCAAATCCTTATTGAAATAATTGCAAAAACATAAACTTGATTGCTACAGCACCATCTTAAGGTCAGGGATTGTCATTTTATGTGTCTGAGTAGGTTTTGAAATTTGCAACCCATTTGCCAATTTTGTTGACTCCCAAGATTGGTGAGTCCCAAAGGGCATAGCGGTTTTGACTTTGGGTCAGTTTGAAGTTTATTTAACCAGCACTGAAAGAATCATTTTGTGTTCCAAACTAACACTCCTGTACAGTTGTTAAATAATACCTTTCTCTGTTCGTTTCAGTGGTCCACACCCTCAGAGGTTATCCAGAGCTACCGGGCACGGGAGTTGTGGATCGCCCCTCCGCAGTACTATGAGCTCAGCCGCTTGTGCCGCATCCCTTTGCTGAAGGACCTCCACAACTTCTCCAGCCAGCGTGCCACAGAGGGCTGCGAACAGTGGCTGCCTCTTGCTGTCCTTAAAGATGATGGCTACATATCACTGCTGCCAGGTGCTGATTATCAGTCTCATCTAGTCCACTCTCAAACCAGCAGAGAAGCATGCCAAATTGATTTTTAATAAAATGAAATATATATTTAGTGCAGCTTTATGATATTATAAATGAATGTGAAGCGATAGTCTATATTTGTCTTATAGTGTTGTCTGGGTAGTCAAAGCCTGATTATTATTATTATTATTATTATCATTATTATTATTACACATGTATATCTATATATCTATCTATATATATGATATCATGATATTATTTATAGGCCATATTGCCCAGCCCTAGTCAAAAGTAATAAAATACAGTTTCAGCGTCATCTTTTAAGAAATCTCTATAGTGAAAGATGAACAGGTTGAGGTAATTTAATCGTAGTGACCAGATTCTGACTGATGCTGTTGATGCTACTTAGCTGTTCCACTGAGGAATCAGTAACATCAGTGCTGATAGATGAACCTTTTTTCCTTAATCTTGTCTGCTATTTTCTCTTGTTCTTTCAGGTGACAGTCACTACCAGTTGGATGCGTCAGGAGAGGCCGTGGTGAATCCCGACACAGACTGTCCGCTGGAGGAGCCTCAAGATGATTCTGCACTGCACCGCTTTGTGAGCTCAGATCTATATACTTTAAGTCTACAAGTAACCATCACGCCGAAGTACAATCAACTGGTTCCTGTTGAAGACAAAACCTTCCTGCATAACTCAAAAAGTCAGCTTTGACTTGCCCTACCAGCTGTACGAGCCCTACAGCTCCTCTGTGCACTTGTAATGAAGCAAGACAAGTTTACTGTTCTGATAGTATCAGAGGGGCCTTTGTCACAGCACATATTTCAACTTGTCACTGTGGGAAAAGGACAGATGTTACTTATAACAGTAACGATGGCTGTGTTCTAATTATGTGTCTTACCACAATGTCACAGTCATTCATCCAGGAAGAACAGATGGAGGGCTGGGTATTGGTACTCAGTGCTTTTCCAGTCAAATGATACCTGCATTCAATCCCTTTTGTACCCAGATCTAGAAAAAAATGACTGTTTTTATATTAATCACAGCCAATCAGTGTTCCTCAACTTTAATGTGACATGTGATTTGCCCTGTACCACAGCAGACACAACCCATACAGCCTGTGGTGTGGTGAAGTCAAGCGCGATGGCAGTGATGCCTCCAAAACATTCACAAGTATGGCTATAACCTACTACATGCCTGTAGTAGAAAAAAATACATCAAATAAGTATACTGTTAGCATCATTATTACTTTAAGGGTACTGATATTGTTACTGGTATTGTACTTTTTTTGATGCTATACCCAGCCCTAGCTGGAAACTTGTGCCCTGTTTCCACCAAACACAGTTTGGTACCTTTGGAACCAAAAGTAACCCTTCAGACATGGTACCTAGACCCTAGTGTTTCCACCACAAACAGTACTCTTAAATTTCACTCTTAAATGGGGTTGTTGTCACCCACTGCTCCATCTAGCACTTGCTGTATTTCCTCATCACCGATGACACAGAGGAAAGTCAGCACTTTGTTTATCGTCCAAAGAACAGGGTTGCATGCTGACATTTTCAGAACAAAATAGAACAGGCTGCAGTGAGAGTCTCTCTCAGTGGGATATTTAAAAATAGTGGGTTTGTGCTTAGTCCTTCTCAGGCAAGCTCAGGGGTTTAGTGTTGCCAGAGCCCACAGGAACAACACTCCATGAAACTTTCTTTTTACTCCCAAGTGAAGATTGGGATATACGCAGTTGATGTAATCCGGCCAAAATTAATATATATAAATGCTTGAAGATCCACTCATTACTAAAAGTGTATGTCGTATAAAAACTAAAATAATGGTCAAAGTTGTCATATTGCAGTTTAAGTTGTGCTGATGGATTCACGTCATCAGCTCATGCATCGAGTATCATAACAAGTAAACGCTCCACCTTAAAAGTCACCGGCAGTTAGCCCATTGAATTAACTTATTTTTTTCACCAACTCCAGCTGTTGCGAGAGGCAGCAAAACATCCTTTCATTGTATACTTACAGTTTACTAATATATGTAAAACTCGCCATGGTATGAACAGTGGTTAAATGAGTCTCAAAACCAGCCACAACTCAGCCCTGAGCAGAGTGACTGTCCGCTATTGACCAATCAACGGACTGTAGTGTTCACAGCTCCACCTTTTAGTACCAGATCTGTGTGCTAGGTACCCCAACAGAGGGGGAACCAAATATGGGGACGGTACAGAACGGTTCCATTGGTACCATCCACAACTTTTCACAGTGGAAATGGAAAAAAAGCGTACCGAACTGAACTGAACCATACCGTACTACTCAGTAGAAACAGGGCTTTGGTGAAGCAGTGACTACTCGCAGGGCTAGTTAGTGAACTGGTGTAGCTTGTGAGCGTTTTAATGCCGATATTGGCTGATACCTATGACGTGCTGATATTATCGTGCATCCCTACTCTACTGTTCCGTTTACTTCCCCCTGGCATGTTTACCTTTGTGTGCCAGTATATTCAGTCACAACATATTGAAGCGGGAACATTCAGCTCTCCATGCTCTGAGCTCTTTTACTGTGACATGTCAAGATGTCCTCAGTGGTGAAAGGTTTGTTATGTCCTTAACATTGACAAACCTTGATTTATTTTCTCTGAGGAATACCCCTGGTTGTAACCGTACTATATTAATGACTGTTAAGCTGCTATTTTTTCTCTTCCGTATGACTCTTCTTCCATTATATCACAGTCGTTGCCATCAATAACAACAAATAACAAGATGACACTGGACCACTTGTGTGATGAAATTTTTAAGAATCATGTTCTATGGAAATAAATAGGTTTCTCAAGGACTTCCTGGTCGGACCCTGTCTTTACATTTTAGTTTGCTCCACACTATGAAGACAATTTTAAAGTAACCTTTTTATTTTGACCAGATGTAAGCTGTAACCATAGTAACAGACTGACGACCAAATATATCAAAGGGATTTAGAGACATCACCTGCAACTTAACTCATATACTTTACTTCCTTAACTGGAGTATTTGCCTTTTCTGCTACTTTATACTTTTACATTAGTGCATTTGAGGGGAAACCTTGTACTTTTTACTCTACTGGATGTGTTTGTCAGCTTTAGATTAAATTAACTTTAATTTATATATATTTAGAATATTAATACAAAATATAAACAAAGGCACCTGTACCTGTAGCTTAGCTTGTTGGCTGCTCCTGATTCGCTCTTGGCTAATCAAAAGTGTTTCATACCAGTCAGCATGTATTGTAGGCTAAATAAAATCTATGGATGTATAAAGAGACCTGGAGACAGCATTGGAAGGAGGGCCCCATTCATTCCTGGGTGATTATTTGATTTGGGGCACTTTTGGATTCTTAATTTCGATGTACACGTCACTTTAAGACATTTTTAAATATTTAACACTTTTCCTCAGATGTCAGAGGAAAAGGTCATTACCACCACATCATCAAATAACTATTCAAAACGTTAAATATCTCTCTTTGTGTTTAAGGGATCTCACTACATTTTAGGCACAGTGTACACAGTCTCTATGCTCTCTGCAAATCTGTTTACCTGAAACATCACAGCTAGTTTTCATCATCAGCCTGTGACTGATTCTTGTTTTCTCACAAACTTCTTTCTCATTTTTTGGGAATATTTTCTTCCTCAGTTAGTTTACATGCAGCGGTGAAAGCACAGAGGCTCAAAAGCCTGAATTGTTGCTGTGAATGCACTAAGTCAGATCCTAAGCCCCAGTGAACGTGTCTGAAACTTGCATTCTGTTATTGGTCATATGCCAGTGTGTTAGCAGATTACCATGAGCAGGCCAGGCTGTCTGTCTGCGGCAACTGTTAAAATTCTCCTACAGGCTTAAAAAAAAAAACATGTCCTTTGTATATGAGCAAGTACCCAAACTGCTGCAGCCACTGCAGGAAGTCAGTAACACAAATCAGTACTGGACAACGAAACTTCAGGATTGTTGTCACTGACAATTCATACACGTCCTGTGTCATTTTGTCATGGATATCATCTTTGACACTGAGTGCCTAAACACTGAAATTCAATCCTAACATTACTGGAAAAAACAAAATGGTAACTTTTGTCCCAGTTAGACTTATAAAGCATGATAAAGCACGCCTCAGAAGTTATACATCTACACCGACTACGGACAAGATCTGCAACAAAAATCTGGAGATCGCACACATTAACATGCAGGGGTGGATCAACAAAGCAGAAGCTTGACCTTTCAATACAGCTGGTGCTGAAGTGGAGTGATATTCATCATGAAATCTGATAACACTGATAAAATGGTCTGCTTGGGAAATAAACAGAAAGGAGAATATAAAATGCAACTTTCTGCTAGAGAGAGACTTTTAAATAGAAGAGAGGAGAGGAACAGGCAGGGTAGTAAAGTGAGTGTAACACACAAACACATACACAAATGTAGTAGCACACATACAAGGGTGTCACATATCCTTATCAAAGAGGCATTGTGGAGCTCGGAGAGAAGGAAGTGTTTCAGAGTTTTCCGTTGAAAATTGAAACTGTCCTGAAAGTGTCTACAGAGTAACTTTCTTGCATGATTGTACCCACCTCCCTTTTGTACCAGGGTTATCCAGGATGTCCAATCAGATCTGGGAACCTCCCACTGGAGGAGTGTGCTCAGTCACAAAGAGCCCCAGGTTTTCATTAACATGACACATTCCTGCTCTACTTTATTTAACTTAGCCAGGTACCATTGGTGAGTTCATTACACTGCACGTGGGCTGGAGACAGTCAAAGTTCATGGAGCATCACTGAGGGGGGTTTCATCAGAGTCATACGTAAGTGAAACATTTTTTTGAAATATTTTTTATTTTATTTATCATGATGTATCAGGTAGGACGTTAACAAAGTCATTGTCAAAGTAAAAGAGTCTCAGCAACACTGACAGCCTGTATTTAATATTAACAAGACACAAAGGCTTCATGTCCGTCTTGACAGATAGATAGAACAAGAATCCGTTCTTTCCTCTCTTCCACCGACTTGGAGAAGGTTGTCCATGCTTTTATCTCTTCAAGATTAGATTACTGTATTGCCCTGTATTTTGGGATCAGCAAGGGAAACATCCGTAGATTGCAACTTATTCAGAATGCTGCTGCTAGGCTTTTAACAGGTACAAAGAGAAGTGACCATATCTCTCCAACCCTTGCTGCTCTCCACTGGCTGCCTGTGAGTATTAGAATTGATTTTAAGATTTGACTAATTGTTTTTAAAGCCCTGAATGGTCAGGCTCCTGCCTATATCCGTGACCTGCTTTTACCCTACGAGCCCGAACACTGCCTGAGATCCGCCGGCACAGCTTTACTTATGGTCCCGAGGTCCCGTCTCATTGCAAAAGATGACCGGGCCTTCGCTGTCTGCGCTCCACAGCTTTGGAACTCCCTGCCCGGTGATCTCAGGCAGGCTAGCTCAGTGACTTCTTTTACATCTCTTCTAAAGACTCACTTTTATCGATTGGCCTTCTCTTAATTTTGTTTTATTATCGTTGCATGATTACCTTGTTGAGGATGTGTGATTTTAATTTTTCTAAATTTTAATTCCAATTTTATTTCTTGGCGGTTTTATTATGTTTTTTTCTTTGTTGTTGTTGTCAGGCAATTGTATTTGATATGTTTTTATTCCTGTTTTTATTTCTGTTGTACAGCACCTTGTAACATGCTTTTGAAAGGTGCTATATAGATAAAAAGTTATTCGATGGATGGATAGATGGATAGATAAACAGATATCACACAAGTGCAAAAATTAGCCTCATGGTACTTGCACTGAACCTTGCATTGATTTGACTTTAAATCTCCTCACAAACAATGGTTTATACAAGGTGCAAGACTTCTTGGAATGTATGGTGGTCCTCTTGCAGCACAGTGAAAATCCACCCTAAACCAAAATAAAGAAGTTTAGCTGCTTTTCAGCAGATGAAGTCTCTCTCAAAGACTGTCAACCCCCTCCCTGAGCTGCTTCACAGACAGCTAATGCTGAAAAATATGGTATAGCTAGACAGAGACTGTGGCTCAAAACCACTGTGACACAGTGACACAGTTATCATCTAGAAACCTAAAGAAACACACTGTGCAGAGTCAAATTCAAAGTCAAAATCCGGATCAGGGCCTTTTACAGTAATGCAATCCGTAAAATCACAGGATTAACAAAGTAAACAGATTGGATTTGGGGGGTGGGGTGGGGGAGGGGTGGGGTCACTGAGTTGTATCGCTTGTGTGGGCCTCATTGTTTTGCTAGATAGGAGGAAATTTTACTGCTAGCTGGATGCAGTATTTCTCTGTAAACCTCATCACAACATAAACCAAAAAAAGGTGTTGTAAAGGTTTGTGGAAGTTGTGTAAAACTTTTTTTCATGCACCAGCAGACTGAAATGGATAAAAGCAGCATCAGGAAGAGGAAGGAGTCCCAGGACAGCTCCACCGGCTGCACCTTGGACTGTCAGCCAAAAGTCAACAAGCCTGTGAAGGCTACTGTGCTTCAAAGAGAAGTGAGTGTGTGTGTGTGTGTGTATCTGTTTCCCTAAGTGTGTGTGAGTTCCTGAGAACAAGTCTCATTAGATGTTCACACAGTAGGATCGCACCATCCGTACCTTTTTTCCAATAGTAGGGGCTGGAGCTGAGTACCAGGCGGTACCACAACAACCGTCTCTATGTATTAACTCCACAGTGATCAACTGAGTGGTGCTGTCCAGGCCCCTTAAGCTGCCTAAGCCCAAAGGTGAATTTAGGGGGACTGAAAGGATACATTTCCCTGGATAAATTAGGGTTATTATTACATTGTTTTAGCACTTAAAACTTCACCCAGTTAGATTTCTTTCAGTGTTTATTGTTCAGGAGGTTTTTCGTGGGAGGTCTCCTCCTCTGGACCAGGTGATTAAAACCAGTAAAAAAAGCTGAATTTATTCGTTTCAGTGTTTCTCCAATGCTGTCCTTTTTTTCTGATCCAGATGTTTAGGAGGTTTTTACTGTGAGCCCAGTTATCTGCAGACGTCAGTGCCATATCTTATTTTCTGCGTCCTCAGTTTGGATTTGAGTGAGTATGATTTCTCAGCAGATGCTCCGTGCTTGGTCTCGAAGTTGCACTTCACATGGCAGCTTTTAATGATTGTCACAGTCTGAACGTATGATGAGACATATAGGGTTTGAACTGCGTGTGGAAAGAATGAGTTGTTGTGTTGATCATTCTTGATCAAGAGCTCTGTTGTCTCCTTTTCTGTTTTTAGAACGTCTCTCCGAGTGCGTATCTCACTAATTCAGCAGTGCTACAAATGCTGCGCCGGTTAACCCTATGGGCCCGAACGACGCATAGTGCGTCCAAATTCACACCCGTTCTTCTCTGTGGATTTTCTCCGCGACCGTGCGTCATAGCGAGAAGCCACGCATATCACGTGAAACAGCGGAACTGTAGCTTTCCGAGAAGGCCAAGCACTTGTCGGTAATCCAATGTTTTCACAGCGAAAAAAAATGGATAAAGTTACACTAAAATGATGTATAACAGAGCTTTCATACAGCTTTGCACACACATGACTCTTGGATGGATTACTCGCGAACGCAGGCTCGCACAGAAATACCACGCATATCACATGAAAGCGCAGGAGCAGAGCTTTCCAATGATACCACACACACACACTATAAATACAGACTGATTGTCTACAAAATAAAAACCTGACGAAATTCTTTACAATCCATTATACAGATCTTGTTATCAGTCACTTCATGTAGTGAGGAATATCGTATCTTACCACGTCTTAGGCTTGTGTGTGTTTCTCCCTGTCTATCCACATTTGTAGTCCAGCTTTCAAGATGCAAATATCTCCATATTGTCCAGTTGACACTCCATCAAACTTTGTATGACAAGACCAGCGCGCTTCACCTTTGCGCACCCAGACAACTGTAGCCTAATTATGCATGCCTGACAGGGCCGTAGTCACCATACACATTGAGGGGGACACGTCCCCCCCCCCCCCCAATGCCCAAAATGTTCCCCCAGTATATAACTGAAACTGAAACAAGGGGAATGGCGTCCCTCTTCACCCCCTCTCTAAATGTCAATTTGGGCAAAACGGATGTGTGTATCAACTTTCATGGTAATCCATTTAGTGCTTCTTGAACCTTTTTACTGCAGATTGGTGACAAATTAAAGGATAAACCAACATGAAGTGTTTTAGTAAGGTATTGGGCCACCACGTGCAGCCAGAGCAATTTTAGTGCCCATTACCAAGTCTGTGAAACTTTATTTGAGGGGTAAACACCATTTCTCCACAAGATATTTCCTCATATAACCTTACTTTAATCAGGTAATTTAATTTAGATCAAGATCTATTTTGCAAGAGAGACGTAGTATAACAGAAGGACACATAACGTCAGAGACAGACATCACTATAAAGTCTTGAAAATGAAAGTTAATCATTTGGTCTAATGAAGATGGTGGTGGACAGTTTTGTCTGACATGATGGTCCAATAAAAGTCATAGATGTGAAACTGGGTTGAGATCTGGTGACTGTAAAGGCTGTAGCATTTTATTTTTTTCATACTCACCAAACTATTCAGTGAGCCGTGGTGTACGGAGGTATCTGCCCACAGACATCCAGTAGACACACAGCAACATGTCCAATATTAACTCGACATTTAGATTTGGTTGGCCTACACTTAATTAAGAAGAGGGTCACAGTCGTCTTTACACGTGGCAGACTCTGTGTAGGGGGATAGAAGCTAACCGCTAGTTAAGAGGAGATCCTGGAGGATGTGCTCTCCTCCTGATATCAAATATGTGAAACTGATTAAGTCCTGTAAATTGGAGACATTGAGACTGACCCCATAGTGGATGGCAGACTAGGCTGGACGAGGGTGAGTGGCGTGGGCAGGCTGAGGTTGCACAAGGTTAGCAGGCAGGCAGAAAGGCGGCAGATGATCCTGAGACACAGGGAGAAAACATGATTAATGTCTGACTAGGAAACAACCCCAGTAAAGTTCGCAGAATTAACTGGAGTAGGAAGGCCTAAAAATATCTGACTACCACAGTTAGGTTAGACGACAACCTGGCGATGACTGGGTGAAGAGCTGGTGAAGACATACTGCAGAGATGATGAGCAAGAAGAGAAAGAGATTCACACACACACACACACACACAGGGACAAACCAGGAACTTGGAACACTACTGATATCTAACAGCACAGTGTAATTAAAAGATGATAATTTCCTTTCAACAATTTTTTGCTGAAGATAGCATGGAAGAAAATTCAGCTATGAGCACTGATGTAACACCTCTACCACTGTGTCTTCGTGTGTGCTCAGGTCGGTCTGTTAAGTGGCATCTGTCTGATTGTTGGGACCATGATTGGCTCGGGTATCTTCATCTCACCTAAGTCTGTTCTGCTGTACTCTGGAGCTGTGGGACCCTGCCTCCTCATCTGGGCTGCCTGTGGCGTGTTATCCACTCTGGGTGAGAACGGCATCCAAGCCAAAACATCACTTTAATCAGCATCAGAGATGTCTGTTTCCCTGCTTTGATAGCTGTCTGTGTATGGAGAGTGGATCAGAGATTCGCAAGGCACTTCACAGAGAGTACGCTATAACATGGACACAAAAATAAGAATAGACTTTATGATGTAATACACATTCATTTTTTAATCTTTGAGGTCAGTGGTGTAAGACATTGCTTTGGTCATATTTTTCACTACATGCCAATTGGCTATTGAAACAGGTGACCAGCCTTATGTTCTAAAACCAGCAGCTGGTGATTTGACCAGCTGAGTTGCAGGTGACACCATCAGCTGGTTGAGTCGAGCTCAGACCGGCCAGTTCACACCGCTGCAACTTTTATTTGCAACGTTCTAAAACGGTTTCGTCTCGTCGCGAATCTTTGGTCTGAACTGGGCTTAAAACGCTCTATATAGCATAGCTGTGACATCACAGCTTCGCAGAAGTCCTGATGGCTCGTCTAAAGGCACAGTTACTAAATACAGACTGTGCATTTCTCTGTGGATTTAGCATTTTAATACTGTTACTGTATTTATATAACGACTTAACCTACTTTATATTAAAACAACAACAACACACAGACAATAAAAATCTGACTGTTTACAATATGGGACCTTTAACACTCAGGTGTATGTATGGCCACTTCATCACAGGTAGCACATTAGGGGGTCATCCCTATGTTTCCAGGGTTCTATGTTTCACGGGTTCTATGTTCCCCACTTAACCCTGCAAAAATGCTTCTATGTTCCCCACTTACACAAAAAGGGTTCTATGTTCCCTGCTTGGTTGAGCGGGCAACATAGAACCAGGGAAACATAGAAGCTTTTTTGTGTAAGCAGGGAACATAGAAGCTTTTTTGCAGGGTTAAGTGGGGAACATAGAACCCTGGAAACATAGATACGCTCCCAACAACGAAATGAATTGCTTGGTAAGGAGACTGGTTATTTCTGCAGTCCAACAACTGTTGAATCAGATTGTTTTTATATTTAACAACAAAGTTATCATGCTGTTGTTTATGTAATGTAAAAATGCCATGATTGCCATATAGCAAAGCTGCTCTTTGGAGGCTTAAAAAAAAATCTGTGTTTATGTGTCACATTTCTTAGAATGGACATACACAGGACTTTGTCCTTTTGTTTTATGGTGGTAAATGTTCATGTTTATCTGTAACATAAAGGCTGGAAGTCTAATAAAGATGTAGATGTAGATATAGATGTCGATGTTTTACAGATGCAGTCATCTTTTTAAATGACACTGTGTATGTATTATTGTGTAATAACAAATATGGGTGGCAATTATGTCTTAAAACAAAATTAAACCTTTATGACAAGTAAACACAATTTAACTCACCACATATGTTTAGGTTACAATAACTGTGGCACGCTTACTGTGCCACTCCACTCCATTCCTTTGTTTCCTTTTCTGTAAAAACTGAGAATGAAATGTGTGGTATAATATTTCACATATATTATCACCAGTTGTAACTGTTGTGGAAATTTTGCTATTCCACTCTGACAAATGAGGAACGAGACAAAAATGTCCTACAGTATCATTATACTTGATTGATGCACAGAGCAAAACAAAGGTTAGTTGGAAGCGTGCACACCCAGGAGTATTCCAAGTATCACACCTCCTTTATACCTTGGAGTGCTCCTATCATTTGTATCCTGTTTTGGTTGACCTCACTTTAGCCAAGGTAATTTCTTATCACAGCATTTTAGATCATCACTAATACCAAATACCTTACCAAATCTTGGCTGGCACCCCCGCGGGTCACGCTTGAACCATGCATGACTTCTGGCTGCTTCACTTGGTTATAATGTTTAAGCCCCAGTTAACCATTACTACACAAACAGATTTTCTTTCCTGGACACACTTCCCAGAAACGTTCTGGTTCATTTGGTGCTGTACATCTGGTTCAGTCAACTGTTAAACTAGGCAGTGCTGATGAAATATGAATCAAGGTGCAAACTACATTGCCTATTTGGCACCTAAAATATTTTCAGTATTTTAGTGTACTGTTTAGCTGAAAAAAAAAAAAAAGAAAAGAAAGTTTGTGACCCGGCCGCCATGTTGGAAACAGTTAACCAAAGTACCAAAGACTGCCCACAAGCCAGACCAACTTTCTACAGCTAAACAGTACACTAAAATGTGTTTCTGAAAACACTTGAAATGAGAAATAGGCAATCGACCATGAGAAGCGCTACAAGGCCATAGAATGGGCAGAATGTTGATTTTTTTTAAAAAACAGATTATCTATCTCATTTAGTGCTGTGCGAATATTGTGACAGTTTAAGCAAATATGAAATAAGTTTTTTTTTAATAAATTACAACTAAAGCTTTATAGATATTTAGGATATACAGTATATAATTAAGACATTCAGTCTTAATTATGTGTAATAAAGTTATTCAGTTGTAATTGTATAATTTCTTTTGCTGTAGAAATCAGTCTTATACGCCTACGCTCTATCATTGGGGTTGCATTGTATTGGGGGGTAAAGTTATTAACACAGCTTCAACATAAAAAATTGACTGTCTTTGGCTTTGAGGGTGTGCAGAGATGGTAGGAGAATATTCTGAACATCCCTTGAATTTTCTACCAGAAACAATTATTAAAGTCCCCTATATGAGTTTGTTTTACATGTCCTTGTCCTCTTCTCTCTGTATCTGTATGTGTGACCATATAGGAGCACTGTGCTATGCTGAGCTTGGTACCATGATCACCAAATCGGGGGGAGAGTACATATATTTAAACGAGGCTTTTGGCTCCCTCGTAGCCTACCTTTATACCTGGACCACCGTCATGGTGCTGAAGCCCTCCTCCTTCGCCATCATCACTCTGAGCTTTGCAGAATATGCCTCCACTCCTTTCTAAGCCGGCTGTACTCCTCCTCTTGTTATTACCAAGTGTCTGTCCGCAGCAGCTATAAGTAAGTTTTACTTTCATCCTTGTGACTTAATGGTTAAAGGCAGTAAATTATACATAACTTACTGATCATGCATTTAAAGCTGCTGCAATGAATGTTTTACTACTTGTAAGGTGAAGTGCCATGGTGATAAACCCCATGAGAATTACTGCCTCTGTATTTCCATCACAAGTTTAGCTCACTGTTTTGGTTTAATGGCCTGTAACTTAAAGGGAATACCTTACCTACAAAATGACCATTTGTATATCAGTTATTCACCCCATGTCATGTTGAATTTGTGAAAAAAATGTATTTCTCGCATGCCTCCGCGGTGAACGGAGAATCCAAAAACTGAGAGGATTCTTAAGGGGCAACAAACAAACAAACTACATCAAAACATCTATTTACAAACTCTTAACACAATTCATGAAGTATAATCCAAGTCTCATTCATCCATGACCTAAGCCCTGCCCCTTTGTGATAGTCCAACAAGTTGTCAGAGTAAGTATGGAGCCCACACTGTAACTAACTGCACTCCCTGAAGAAATATTATCATACTTTTGGAAAAATGAAACAGTGATTCCAGAGAGAAGCAGACAGAGGGGTCTACAGTCTGTGTTTGAAGGATATATCCAGGATGTCAAACTGACTCAGCAGCAACAACAGGTTAAAAAGACAAAGATGGTTAGAAGCTAAAGCCGAACTATAGGCAACAGATCACAGTGTAAAAGTGAACCACCACATCACTGCTGATCGCCACAGAAGACAATGAATATAAAGGGAAACTTTGCTGATATTGAACCAGCTGTGTGGCATCGCAGTGTGTGTAGATGAACGGTGTTTGGCATCGCCCCTGTGCCGCTGTCTGCACCTGGACCTCCGCCACTGGACAGGCAGGGATCTCTGGGGGAAGTCAAACCACGTTCATCTGCACACAGTGTGATGACACACAGCTGGTTCAATATCAGCAACATTTCCCTGCGTACATATTTTTCCAACCTCTCCAGGTAACGAGTATCACTGATACACAATGTGCCCCAAGCACAACATTTAGCTCCAAATCCACAACACCAGCCTGAAAATGAAGGAAATCTGAAACGACTGCATCAGAGACAATGGAGCACAGCTGTGTTGTTGTAGGGCCCTGGTCTGAGCCAGCCTGATACTATATTACAGTCTGTGTCCGGAGTTGGGATGTAGCGAAGGGTGAATTATTATGAAGTTGTTCACATCTATGTAAAAGGGAAAGGGTTTTTTTTTTTTTTTTGTGACAAACTTTTTATTGAACAATTTGAACACCATACTACAAACATAGTGCCATTGCCTTGCCACTAGGAATTTTAAGGAGAGAAAATACATTGTACACATAAGTAAATAAAAGGTACAGACAGTTGCAGACCCACCAGTGGTAACTCGTTGCATTAGATGACAGAGAGTCTTGCAGTCAGACAACCTAACTCACAGAAACACTTTATATACGAGCAAGCAATGTTATGTCAGAAAGAGAGCTGCTAAGAGCGTCCCAGGTCTGCACAGTAGATGCTCGCGCTTTATGTATGACAGCCAATGACCTTTCTAAAAGAGCAATGTCTCTAAAACGATTCAGCCATTCTTTTGCTGATGGGATGTCCGGAGAAAACCATGAATGTATTATAGCCTTCTTAGCGGCAGTCAATCCTGCAAATATATCTTTCCTCTGTGCTAATCAGGTATTGCCACTGAGAACAGAGTCATCATTGAATAGAAGTAGGGGAAGATGCATAGGAATGGGAAATCCTAAAATATTTTCAAGGCAACTATGGACCTTGGACCAAAGACCAGACACAGAGGGACACTCCCAAAAAACGTGAAGGTATGTGCCAACAGTGTTCTGATCACATTTTGTACAGTTGGGATCATCTGTCAGTTTCACTGTGAAGCGTCTGTATGGCGTGGCATAGAATTTGTGCACAAACTTGTAAGGAATAAGTTGATGTGCTGGATTCTTTGATGAGATGGGTATGTTGGTCCAAATATTGTCCCAGTCCAGATCATAGCCCTGACCCTCAAGTTCACGGTTCCAAGAACTGATCACTCCCAAAGGTTTAACACTTTTAGAGAGCAGTTCATTGTAAATAACGGACACTAATCCAGTAGAGGGTGTTCGAGAAGAAATCCAAGTGTCCAACGGATGAGAGGGCAAAGGTGAATCCCATGGAACTCCATGAGCAAGGATTGCAGATCTCAACTGGAAATACAAGAACCAAGGAAACCCAGGGAGAGAATAACGTTCTTTAAGCTCTTGGAGTGAAATCAAACCATTTCTGTCATACAGATCTTGGAGAATGTGAATTCCTCCAGAAGCCCAACTGTCATTAAAATAGGGACCAGAATGCTGTAATAAATTGTAGTTATGCCAAACAGGAGAGCGATCACAAAGCTTTACGTAACAACCCATATGTTTCTGGACAGCAAACCAAATTTTCAAGGAGTTGCCTATGATTGGTCCAGACTTTCTACACACAGATCTAGGTTTCAACCCACAAAATGTCTGTCATCCTATGCGGTTTTACCATCTCCTTCTCTATCTGACGCCAGGGTGTAATAACATTCTCATTGCACCAGATTGTCAATTGCTTTATTTGAAATGACCAGTAGTATAATTTAAAGTCAGGTACTGCCAAGCCTCCAGAGTGTTTTGGTCGCTGTAACGTGCGTAAGCGAATACGAGCTCTTTTATCATTCCATATGAATTTAGAGGTCAGGGACTGTAGTTCATCAAAGTAGTTAGGTGGTGGAGGCATAGGGATCATAGAGAACAGGAAATTCAGTCGGCCGAGTATATTCATTTTCAGTATCGCAATTCTGCCTTGTAGTGACATCTTGAGATCAGACCACCTCTGAATGTCCGATGCAATCTCCGTTTTGAGTTTATTGTAATTTGCATGTGATATATCTGAGAAATTGGTTACAGTTATGCCTAGATATGTAAATGCGGAGTTATGCCATTGAATATGTTGAATGACTGGTAAAGTGAGGTGTTTTGCAGGGGCATTTAAAGGAATGAGGAGGGATTTATCCCAATTAATTTTATAACCAGAAAATAGGCTGAACCGCGTAAAGACTTTGAGTATTTGAGGTAGAGACTTATAAATGTTAGTAAAAAAAAGTAATACATCGTCCGCGTAAAGCGAAATTTTATGTTGTGTACCTTGTATACTGATGGGTGAGATCTGCGGGTCTAATCTAATTGTCTGGGCTAGTGGTTCAAGTGACAAAGTAAAAAGGAGCGGGGACAGTGGGCAGCCTTGCCGAGTTCCACGCTGCAGAGGGAATGTTTTGGAGAGAATATTATTTATTTGTACGATTGCACAAGGGTTGGTGTATAATGTTTTAATCATTGATATAAATTTTTTGCCAAATCCGAACTTCTCCAAAACCTGCCACAGATAAATCCAGCTCACTCGATCAAAAGCTTTTAGCGCATCCAAGCTGAATATAGCTGCGGGGTGTATATCTGATTCTGATGCATGTAATATATGGAAAAGGCGTCGGATGTTGTCTGATGCAAGTCTCCCCTTTAAAAAACCTGTTTGGTCGCAATGAATTAATTTACCTACACATGGCTCCAGTCTTCTGACTAACACTTTGGCAAAAAGCTTCAGTTCTGTTGTGATAAGTGATATCGGCCTGTAACTGCCGCATCTCAAAGGTGGTTTATCTTTCTTGAGCAGGACTGATATGAGAGATGTATTTTGGTCACGATGGAAGGAACCAATGTCTAAAGCATAGTTAAAAGAATTTAAAAGCAATGGCCCAACGATATCCCACAGTTCCAAAAACAACTCTGGAGGCAGCCCGTCAAGGCCAGGCGATTTTCCTTTTTGCATCGAGCTCAATGCCTCTTTAAGTTCTAAAAGAGTAAGTGGTGTTTCAAGGGATTCTGCATCATTATCAGTCAGTGATGGTAAGTTAAGTTCTGACAAATACAATTTAATGGCAGCCAAGTCAGGAGCAGGGTCCGCTGTATAGAGACGAGAATAAAAATCTGCAAAAATATTATTTATTTCACCCGGGTCATAGGTGACAGGTCCAGATGGTGTTTGGATTGCACTGATCGTGGAAAAGGATTCATTTTGTTTTAACCTGGCAGCTAAAAGCTTGCTTGATCTTTCGCTCTGATCATAATATGTGAGTCTCGTACGATGAATTATAAACTCAGCTTTAGCCTTGAGCAAATTATTCAGTTCAAATTTCAGGGCCGAGAGAGTTGAATGGTTTTGTTCGGAAAACTGCTGTTTTAGGTCAAATTCCAAAGTTCGTATCTCATCTTCTAATTGCGCAACCCTGCGCCTCCTGGTCGCCTTCAAATGGGAGGCAAATGACAAGGCCTCTCCCCTTATAAAGCATTTAGTTGTTTCCCAAAGTATTTGGGGTGAGGCTGCTGTCTGAGTTAATTTCTAAAAATACTTTAAGATTATTTCTCAGTTTTTTCAAAAAATCTGTATTCTGGAGTAATGTTGTATTGAAACGCCACCTGTGTGTATCTTTACTGCGGGTCGGTAGGAGTTTAAAGTTATATAACACAGGGGCATGATCTGATATTATAATAGGGAGGATATCAGTGGAATTAATACAATGATTCAGGGAGGCAGAAATGAACATGTAATCAATTCTTGAGTATGTCTTGTGTCTGACCGAGAAAAAGGTATAATTCTTAATTAAAGGGTTCCTTAGGCGCCATGGATCAATAATATTAAGCTCAGAAATAAAGGTGTTAATCCCACGAGGGGAGTCCTGGGTTGAACTTGCATTTACAGATTTTGTCTAAATTTGTGTCACACACCTGGTTAAAGTCACCCCCGACTATAAGCTGATGACCTGGAAAGTCTAAGAGAGTATTAGAAATTGTGCTTAAGAAATTTGGATCATGGATGTTTGGGCCATATATCGATGCAATACAAATTTTTGTATTGTTGTAATTGTAACACAGACGTAAGTCAGTCTGCCAATGTCATCATTGCCTGAATTTTCCACCTTCACCCCTAACTTCCTACTGAATAAAATAGCCACTCTCTTTGTCCTATTTGTTGCAGAAGAGTGAGCAACACACTTATAAAATCTATTCTGAAACCTATGAATATCAGTTGTTTTCAGGTGTGTTTCTTGGATCAGAGCAATGGAGATTTCTTTACGTTTAAGGAATTCTAGGCATTTGGTGCGTTTTACTGGAGAATTCAGGCCCTGTACATTCCACGACATTACATTAAAGGAGTTATTCATATTCAAGTTTGTGCCATCTTATCAGCTGGAGGATATCACATGTAGGTCTACACAAAATGGTGCTCCTCAAATGTAAAACATGCAAATCAGAGAAAAACGTATAACAGTCTCTACATAAATGGCAAGGCTCTGGCAGCAAACACAGAACAATTACAACAAAACATTCCATCCGCAAGAGATAATGAATGGTCTCTTAGGATGGAGAAGAAAAAAAAAAAAATAAAAAAAAATAAATAAAAATAAATAATAAATAAAAATAAAAAAAGGGGCTTTCTTATTGACTAACTGTGGCTTCAACAGTGATACACATCTCCTGTCCGAGTCCGTATAGGTATCAGAAACATTAACTTAAAAACTATCCGCTTGTAAAGCAAAATTGGGCTCTAATCAGGTTATCTCCTCAGAATCAGTCTGCATTAACCTGAATTGAATACATAAAGTGACTTAATCAGTATTAAGAGGCAGTACGCTTATATAAAACAAAAATTAAAAAAGGGAGGGTGAAAAAAAAAGAAGCACATTTTCATTCATCATGTGTCAAATCACCACTAATCAAAACTATAGTTTGTCACAATGTCCGCAGTGACCTGTAATGGCCTTTATAGAACATCAGAAATATTAATCATACAGCCCTAAACGTGTAAAATAAAGTTCTATACACACTACCTCCTTTAAGTAAATCTAGGTCAGATCTTTAGTACAGTCGAGAGGAGAGTAAGCAGCATGAAACCTTAAGTAATCCGCTGTTTGGGTCAAGTTGGAGCGGGAAAAGTATCCGCCGAGGGTCCCTCGTCGTCCGATATGATGGAGAAAGAGACGCGGGGGGTGCCAGCTTCACTGGACGTCAAGCGAGGGCTCTGGTCGAGCATGGCCATAAATGCCTCCGCATCCGCCACACTTTCGAAAAAGTGCAGCGAGCCGTTGTGTCTAACCTTCAGGGTTGCTGGATATCTCAGGAACGGCCGCAGTCCTCTGTTGGCAAGCTGTTTTCTCACCGCATCGAAGGCTTTCCTCCTCTGCGCGGTATCGTTGCTGTAGTCGGGAAAAAACAGCAGCCTGGATGTCAATGTCTGCCCCTTGCTGGACGTCCGGTGTGTAGGCGCGGATGAAAGGGCTCTGGCTCCGTTGAGAATTTTCTCCCTGTCCTGGTAACGAAGTAGCCGGAAAATGAGTGTCCGCGGACGGCTGGTCCTGTCCTGGGTGGTGAATATACGATGAGCCCGTTGAATTTCAATCTTGTCCCCGGCCAGGGAGGGGATCCACACGGGCAAATTATCTTGTAAAAATTGGATGGCATTTTCACCCTCCGCTGACTCTGGCAGGCCGACAAGTCGGAGGTTAGACCTCCGTGATCTGTCCTCCATCTCAGCGACTTTCTGGCGCAGATTCAGTAGCTCTTTCTGGAGGTCACCCACATCGTGTTTCACCGTTCTGACGTTAGCCGATGTAGCGTCTAGCCTCCCCTGCAGCTTTCTACCGATATCGGATTGCTGTGCGATATCTCCGCTGAGTTTGTTCACTGCCGAGTTGGAGGCTTCAACCATAGCTTTCAGGGCTTGGATTTCACCGGCAAGCATTTCCTCGACTGCCTCTCTCACAGCCAACTTAACTTTTCCGGTTAGCCTTTCTTCCTGCTCACGCAATGCTAACAAGATGGCTGCGTTTGAAGTGTCCTCCAGTTCTTGGCCCGAAACTTTTTTTTTGCCCGCTGTCTCGTCCATAGACGATTTATTCTTCGCTCCTCTCCCGCTCGACATTTTGTAGCGATACTCAGACGTAATTTAAACTAGAATAGTTTCCGAATTGTAGGATATTTCGTGTATTATCGGACTTTTGAGACGGAGCTCAGAACTACACGCGCATCACGTCAAGTCCCGGGAAAGGGTATTTTTGAGGTGATAAAAGTATAGAAATAAACTTTTTGAGAGACGCAATAATTTCACATATCCAAGTAACAATGTTTTACTGTATATTTCTTAAATTTCTTGTGTCCTCTCAGTTTTGATCTCCCTCATCAATTGTGTGAGTGTCAAACTGGCCAGCTACGTGCAGAACTTCTTTACCGCAGCCAAACTTTTCATCATTCTCATCATGGTGGTAGCTGGCATGGTTATGTTGGCACAAGGTGGGCCTGCTTGCACTCTCAGTGTCTTTAACATACAACTCAATCATCAAATCATTTTTTAAAGAAACATTTCATAATAGGTATTAATATTCATGTATGTATTGTTGTGTATTTCTATCCAGGAAAGACTGAGACTTTGTCGGATGCATTTGATGGCACATCAACGTCTATTGGAGCAATTGGACTTGCATTTTATAATGGGCTTTGGGCTTATGATGGATGGTAACAGTTAAACTTCACTTCACTTTGTGCTTCATTGGGATGTGTAGGGTTGACCATGCTCCTCTCTAAAGCAGTGCACTGAACTGTACTTTCTCAGTTTTTTCTGCTACACTGACTCATATAAGGAGACTGTGACCCCACTCAGATTTTCAGCTACTTTAAACATGATAGGGCAAGGGGGGGCAGCAAATGGTTATAACCTCCCCAGCTATTCCCTTAGGTCTGTGAATATTAGATGCATCCAGAAGCTTTTTGTCTAGACTTGGACCTGAAATATCACAAGCAGCATCTTACTATTCCTCCATTCCTCAAGTCAGCCATCAGTCAAGGTCTTCCTACCTATAATTGTACTTAAAGGGTGTGTTGGTGGATTGCCCCCTTCGGGTTGGGTGTGAGTTAGTGCCCCAAGTGAAGGAGTTCAAGTATCTCAGGGTCTTGTTCATGAGTGAGGGTAGACTGGAGTGTGAGATGGATCGCGGTTTGACGTGGCGTCTGCAGTGATGCGGGTGCTGTGAAGAGAGAGCTGGGCCTCAAGGCAAAGCTTTTGATTTAGTGGTCCATCTACGTCCCAACCCTCAGCTATGGTCATAAGCTATGGGTATGGCTGAAAGAATGAGATCGCGGATACAAGAGGCCAAAATGAGTTTCCTCAGAAGGCTTGCTGGGCTCAGCCTTAGAGATAGGGTAAGGAGCTCAGAGTAGAGCCGCTGCTCCTTTGTGTTGAAAGGGATCAGTTGAAGTGGTTCAAGCATCTGATCAGGATGCCTCCCGGGCACCTCCTTATTGAAGTGTTGCAGGCACGTCCTACTGGTAGGAGGCCTTGGGGCAGACCCAGAACACGTTGGACGGATTGCATATCTCATCTGGCTTAGGAACACCTCAGGGTCCACCAGGAGAAGCTGGAAAGCGATGCTGGGGAGAGGGACATCTGGAATACTTTGCTCAGCCTGCTGCCCCCGTGACCAAGCTTCAGATAAACAGTTGAAAATGGATGGATGGGTGCCTTTCCATGGGTACAATCCAGGTTCAGAATATTAATAAGGGGGCTAAATAATGCTCCAAAGTTGAGCTTAATTTTGGAAGTGGCATGGCCATTTTCAAAGGCCTCACAACTGACCATCATTATTCTACATCAAGATGATGTCAGCGACGTTTGGAAGACTTTGGATTTTGGTCACTTATGAACACACCTTAAAGCTAACAAAATACCAATGTCATTTGTTGTTGGTAATCTAACTCTAATTGACGTTGGCATTAGGTGTTGCTCTGACATTTATTTTTGGTTAACCGACATCACAACCTTAAACCAACCAAATATCAATGTCTAACGATGTTTGTGGCTTAAGGCCAAAACACACCGGCGCCGTACGATGCGCGTCAAAACAGCAGCCCCCATTATTTTCTATTTACAAACCCACACTGGCTCGACGCGTTTTGTGTGTGTTGGGGGCGGCACTTGACTCGCGTCAATGACGCTGCCGTCATATGACGCCGCCAGTGTGTTTTGACCTTTACTGGGCTAACAACAACAGCTTTGAATATTTTCTGTTTGTACTAAGTCTATTTTTTCACAGTAACAGAGGCTTGAGATGGTTTTTAGAGAGTTGCTTGTGTATTGCAGAGAAGCAGCAGGTGAAGTTTGACTTTTTGTGTGGGTTCCTTTCCTATGCTGTTTCTGCACTGTGGGGTTTCCTGTGCTGTGGCCATATAGGAGATTTTAGCTAGCCTCTCTCCATCTCCTGTTGGCGCTGGAGTGTGTGGCAGAGCATTTTAGCCTGACTGGATTCCTGTCTTTGTGATGTGTAAGGTCGATTTGGGTACATTTTCCATTCTAGTCACTAAAGGGGAACCTGAAATTGAAGGGGTTACAGTGATCCCTACTGCAGGAACAAAATAGGTCTCTCTAGGTGGCCGAGCAGGTCCATGGAATTTTCAGTGTGTTGCTCTACAGAGGAGAGTGATCAAGCTATAGTATTTAGAGGACAAATGCTTGCAATAAAAAGAACTAGAGTTGCCCATATTTCTTATTTTATAGCACTACGCTACCTTTAAACATGACACACATCCCTTGTTTTCTTAGGAATCAACTGAATTTCATTACAGAGGAGCTGAAAGATCCATACAAGTAAGACAAACTAAAACTCATCTCTAAGTTTTTTGATGTTCTTGTACTACTCATTAGTTTTTTAGGAAGTACCTAAACATGGAAATCTGAACTTATTTAAAGAAAAAAAACAAAAGTGTAATTATGCAATGGTCATTATCCAAAGTCAGAGCAGCATATCTGACAAGGTAGGCTGCACAACCTTTTGAGTAAATACATTTTCTGTCAATTCATCTCAGGAACTTGCCACTGGCCATCCTCATTGGGATCCCTTTGGTATCTGTGTGCTATGTGATGGTCAACATCTCTTACTTCACTGTTATGACCACCTCTGAATTGTTGGTATCTCCAGCTGTTGCCGTGGTAAGAAGCATAGAAGGTTGCCATGGTTATGCAGAAAACTTGAGAGAGAGTAGCTCTGTCTCAATTCAGGGGCTGCAGCCTTTAAAGGCTGCATTTGAAGACCAGTTGCGTCACATCAGCGCGACCAAGGCTGTCCCAATTCGAAGGCTCCTTCAAATGTGGCCGAGAAATGCAGCTTTCTTTCCCAGAATTTGGAGGATGCAACAGATGAATCCTTCGTGGCCCAGCCTATCCCAAGATACATTGGGTGTCAGTGACGATTATATATTAAATGAAGTTAACTAACAGTTGTTAACTAGCTAACGGTTAATATACATATAGATGTAATAAGAATCTCTGGGTCCATGATTCAGGGCTAACTAACTTACTAGCTTACTCCTTATTTAGTCAAACACAGCTGGTGTTACCTAGCGGTAACAGCAACACCAATGGGTCGGGGCGAGAACAACTGGTGATGCAACCAGGAAATCCTCCACAGACCAGACTGTCCCATTTCGGAGACCGCTCGGTTTGGCTGATGCGGTCTTCAAAGGATGTGGTCGACATAGACCGTGAAGGCCGCGTCCTTCAAAGGCTACAGCCCCTGCTTTGAGACATAGCTAATGAGTAATTATACGCACATCAATGAGGTGCAAGACTATCAAAAACCAGCGTACATGAAAGAAAAAAAATATAACACACTTACTGCACACTTACTCCATGCCACAAAAGTTTAATAAAGACAGTGCTTCGATCCTACTTGGATCTTCATCTGATGAAAATGTTTGAGAAGGGAAACCACACCTATATCAGTGCATTATGTGTAAATATAGGTGGGTTTTCCACCTTTCAAAAATTTTGAGTGGATGAAGATCGATTGAAAGTTGTTTTTACTACTCTTAGTTTGTCATGACTTGACTGTGTTGTGTTAAATAAAAAACTTATTTACAGCATTTACCAGTCATTTTACTCACATTATATTTACAATACATGTATATACCAGAAATGTTTTTTTTAACAGACACAATGCATGTAGCAAGCGTCAATTGAGACGCTGTCATTGAATGTCCACAACTGACGCGTAAGGCTACCTAGCACATTCTATTTTGACGTTCAGGACACTGACAAAGCAGCAGTATTTGACAAGGTAGAATGAGAAAAGGTTGACATTTTTGTTTATTCCGGAGAATTTTAGTTTAAACCGCAGAAACAGCTCAGTATTCATTTACTCTGCTCCTCTGTCTTTTCTGAAGGATTTGTTTTTGCCTTTTTAGACTTTTGGAGAAAGAGTCCTTTTCTCTATGTCTTGGATCGTTCCTCTCTTTGTTGTCTTCTCCACATTCGGCTCTGCCAATGGAAGCTGCTTCACCGCTGGCAGGTAAAAAAAAAAAAGAAAAAAAAGACAACTGTCACATTATTTATGAATTACAGGAGCTTAAGAATACATTTTCCTGTCTGTGTGTCTAAAACTGTGTGGTGTGCATATTTGTATGTACGAGAAAGACAGCTCAAGTAAACAGGGTTTGAAAGTGAAAGTGAGAAAACTGATGTGCGTTAGAGGTGGAAAGACTTTGACAGACAAGAGGAAAGAGATAGAAATAGAAAAAAAAAGATTCTCGCGAGTACAGTACAACGAGAATACTCAACAAAACATTATGTGTCTGCCTTTCTCTTCTCACAGACTGGCCTACGTGGCCGGTAGAGAGGGTCACATCGTGAAAATCTTATCCTATATTAGCCTGAAACGCTACACTCCAGCCCCCGCTCTCATGTTCAATGTAAGTCCTGCATATTGACAGAGATCCCTTTTCAATTTGGTCTTACATGTTCATCTGTCTTTTTTAATGTTTAAACCTCTGCAACATCACATTTAAAATGTTTTGAGTACAGTTTGTGACAGGCCAAAGATCCCTAAATATCCTTTGTGTAATTACAACAATACAAGTTTGAAAATATTTAACAAGATATTCCTCTGTTTGGTTGCTCTCTGTGTTTGGCTTCTCTCTGTTTCAGGGTCTTTTGGCTATTTTCTACATTATCCCATCAGACATCAACAGCCTTATTAACTACTTCAGCTTTGCTCAGTGGGCCTTTTATTGTCTGACAGTGCTGTCTCTCATAGTCATGCGTTTCACAAGGAAGGAGCTCCACAGACCAGTAAAGGTGAGGATTGCTGATTGAGGAGTTCTGTTGTCTTTTTAGAGCCAGCTATAGTGTTTGACTCAACAGGTTTATGTGTTCTGATGCTTAGTTAATTCGAAACTGCAATCTGTATCGCACATTTGAACGACAGCAAAGTTGACAGAGTCTAGTTGTCTAGTGTTGTGTTTTGGAGGAAATCAAACTTTAATTAACTGATTAGGTTGCAAGACAGTTAATATAACTGAACTGGTGAATCATCTACATTCCAACGGGATGACTGTCTCGATCAACAACATTTCTTAAAGGGACAGTTCTAGATTGTTTTGGTGTGAGTTGCCGTGTGCTTGAGATAGGGGCTGTAGAGGTATCTGCCTTTTCTCAGTTATAATGGAACTAGATGACACTCAATTTGTGATGCTCCAAGTGGCAAAATTACATATAAAAACCTTAACAGTATTGTCTCTGTCCAGACATCATGACTCAGGTAGGGGAGACCAGGGTTGATCATCACACGCTTGTGTGAATTGCTCATCATCAAAACATCTTTCAGTAGTCATTCCTACATTGAATGAAAGCTTAAGGTCTTGGCTTGAAATGGGTATACCTTTCATTTTTACAAATTATTGCAACAAGAAGTAATTAACCATCAAAGACACTCTGACACACTGTGACAACCAACCCCATCACGGGGTCGCTGCAGTTATCAATGGTGTTTCAGGAAAAAAAATATTTCAAAAACGTGTAACTTTTTAGTTTTTTAATATAGAAACACCAAATAAGTTTTGAAATGAATACCACCTTTATAATGGTACTCATCAATGCCCCTTGTGTTTGAACCATGACTTTGAACCAGGTGACTGTTTGTTTGAATTATCCTCTGTAATGAGAAATAAAATGAAGGACTTTACAGAACTGAAAAAAATCTAGCCTTTATTAAAGCTGTTGTTTCAAAACAATTTATTATGAATACAACATTAAATGAAACAGTGAGGTTGGAAAAAGATTTCCCACCATTACAATAGGACCGGGGACTTTTGTTAAAATGTCAAATAGCCTAGGCTGAAGTATGTAACTTGTGAGATATGGTAATGAGGAACTAAAGTAGCATTGTGTGTGTGTGTGTGTGTGTGTGTGTGTGTGTAATCAAAAACACCTGAGAATGCCATGCTGACTGTATTTCTGAACTGTCACATGTGTAATAAACGCCCAGAGCAGTGAGACAACCGTCCCCAACTGACCTTTTTACAAGCATTTTAAGCTAGCTACCACATGGCTTTAGCTTGCTAGCTAAAAGTTGACTCAAATCTAAGTTATTACCTTTGACTTTTTCATAAGTGTTTGATTTTTTAACGACTAATTACCTTCAAGCTTTTAATACAAAAACAACACCAACATGAAAAATGACTCTGACCCATAAAAATGACAAAATATTTTCTCACCTCAATGTTTTGTGTTTGTTCCTAAAAATGACCAGTGCAAAATGAGCAGAATGTCCGGCCAAGATATCAACATAATGTCACAGCGCCTTCCAGTGTGGCTGTAATAAACACTGTGACAACCAACCTCGGTCTCCCCTATTCAAGATAATCCACAGACCTTGAGCTGTAACGTTAGCTACATGTTAGCATGTTTCCTTCTGTGTGGTTATACGGTTCCCACATGAAACTGCTCGCAAAAAGGTCAGTGAATAGTAACCAGGTCGTGATTTCTGGAAGGAGACATTGCTGTTGAGTTTTTTTAATGTAGTGTTTTTGTGCTCTGAGCACCACACACACCGAGTGCCATCAAGTTCCATTACTGTACACCTCCATCCATGCTCTGTAAGGTGACCTTGGATGTTTTGAAAGGTGCCTTTTAAATAAAATGCATGATTATTGCAACAACAACAATTGCATGCTTGTTAAGGGAATTTCAGTTTTGGTTGTGATCACAGAGCCGAAGTACAATAAGTATTTTGGAAGTAAAAATACTAAACTGTGGACCCTGTGTAATCTTGTCACTATATAAAGGTGCCGATTGTAATACCAATGCTAATGGTCCTGGTGTCCTGCTACTTAGTCCTGGCTCCCATCATTGATAAGCCAGAACTGGAGTACCTCTACTGCACTATCTTCATCTTCAGTGGACTTCTCCTCTACTACCCTTTTGTCCACCGGAAGGTCAACTGGGGACGCAAACTCACGAGTAAGTTTACTCTTAATTTTTTACTTAAATTCTGGAGTTTCTCTCAAAATGTATTGAAATATTTGTTAGTTCTTGACCATCAGTATAGAATAAAATGTGAAATAATGTGCTCAAAAGGTGGAAAACAAATGAATGAAATACAGTGTCATGTTGTGCTGACATCATATGCTCTCCATTCCCCTGCAGGGCCCATCACCATGCACCTCCAGCTGCTGATGGAAGTAGTTCCCCCTGAGAAAGTTGAGTGAGAAGGGACAGAACTGACAACCAGGTCAGCAGAGTGGATCAGAGCCAAAAATCAGAGCTCACCTCTGGTTAAATGTTGATGCACTGTATTCATGAACCTGTGTGTAACTGTCTCACAGACATGATGTTTATTTTTTATACTTGCGTCATAAATTCATGATTTTTTTTGTTCATACAGTAATTAAAAATGATTGAAAATTATTTTTTTATTCATTAATAAATTAATGAATGAAAAAAGAGGAAGGGTAACACTGGTTAAAAACATGTCTGAAATATACCTCCTTGGTTTGGTTGGAAATGTATGGGTCTTTATGTAAGGTTTAATGTAAAGTGTAAGAGTTTAGTTTAGGGCATGACCATGGCATTATGGGTGCACACCAACATGGATGCAGAGGAAAGACATACAGTCCGAAAATAACCTTTTTCTGCACGGAGTCCAAGAGGTGGACACGGTAATTGTCTTTTATTTGGTTCATACTTGTGTATAATGTTTTTTATGTGCCTTTACATGGACAACATGATACCTTTTCAGATTTTATGTGATTCAATCACATTTCTGTTGTACAAAGGTATCAACAGACGATTTACTTGGAGACTGAGCGATGTGTATTTGAAACTTTTTATGTCTTTTATTTCTTGTAGTTTTCACAATGTCTGTTTTTATGGTGTTTGCTGACGACGAGAGAGAGAAAATAAAACTTCACTTCAGACACATATATGATGTGTGGCCATTATTTTACTGGACCAGCGTAGCTACACTGTGCACAAGATGAAATTATTTGTCATTTGGGTTCAGGGATGAAAGAAGAGGATTCACGTTTCCAGACAGCGTACTGTAGGAATCCCTCTGCTGTAATTAGAATTAACCTATATATAGTTAGATATTTAAAGTGAAGGTGTAGATGTGTTTGAGAGATTGACCACATCCTCACGATATCTCGCTCCACATGAAGAAATAAATCATTGACAAAAACCATAACTTTTTATTGAATATTATCAGCACTTACAGGTAGCATTCAGCAACCATGTCAAACCTTTCTTCATGCAGTTACTGTGCAATAAATTTTTTACTGGACCAAAGTTCACTTGATGTAAATCAGAGGATTTAGATATGCAAGTTACCGCACTTAAGCAAAGCGGAAGAAAAATCATTTTAAGTGCATTGCAGAGACAACATAAAGGCTCATCACGAATGAGGAAACACGTTTGTTTATGTTGCTCCTGAGGTTTTAAACTGAAAGATCAGAGTTTCTTTAATGGTTGCACATTCTTTAAAATGTTCTCAGTCCTATCTTTCACACTGGAATATGCTGGAACAGCGCTGCATGGTATTTGCCGGCGGTTATTAAATGTATCAGTCTTGCTGAACATAAAGTGGACGTGGGAAATAACCAATTTGTGATTCGAGGCAAATATCCCTTCTGTGTCTTCCTGACCTGAGTGCTGCTTTAGCTCAGTATCTTTTATGAAAATGTGTGCACTATGTCTATAGTAGTGTACTCATAAACAATACAGTAGCGTGTTTCTATTGATGTGTGACCATGAAATATTATGACATGCCACAAACTGTTGGAATTGACTCTACTTCTGATTGTCTAAAAAAAATCTGAACTTCCACCAGGGCTGTGAAAGCTATTTGTATTATTTTGTTGGTACATATATTGATATCATTTCATGAGTTTGTGGGCTGTACGTGATGCTTGATGTGAGGAACAATCAGACCTTTGCTTATGGAGAAGACTGGGTGATTGTGTTAGTGAACTGTGATTTGACTGTGCCAAAATTGTCCACCAGATGTCAGTGCAGCACTGTTAACCAGGTCTGCAAAGGTATGAGCATGTGCTATCAGTATCACATATCTATAGTGGTAATATTATTATAATATACATCCATGTATACAAATATTAATTCCAATAATATGAAAAATTGCTTTAATGTGATTAGCAGTGGTTGTAACTGTGATAGTAGTCAAAGGATGAAGATGGGGAGCAGCAGTCTTTATTGTTGTTCTTATTTTGTCACAATATGTGGTGACAACCTTACCTTGGATGGCAAATCTGGGTAAAAAAATAATATGTCTCTAGCCAAGTATGCATTCTAGTTCCTTACTGTAATTCCATAAAGAATACAGGGCTATGCAGAAACTGTTGTTGCCCTCTAGTGGTATAGTTTCTGCACACAGCCTCAAACCAGGGTCTGTCATATGCGGTCCCTGCGAAAGTGACAGTTTTCTGCAATAGGTGCCACTAAATCTGCATTGGCTGAGCTGAATGAAAGGACATTTGCAGAGAAGCTGCTACCTCTGCCAAATTAGGTTGGAACTGTTTAGAGAAGCAGCATGTTTGTTGTGTAGCCTGTTGCGTCTGGCTCTGTTAAAACGTTTGTGGTGAAGAATGCTGTTGTCCTGCAGAATCAACTCAACTGGTCCCACATGAAGACTGAGTACATGGTGACAAGAGGCAGGAATCTCTTGGCAACAATCAGCTCAGAGATGGAATTGTGATTCAGTGCACATACGGTGGCTGTAACATGACATAACATAAATGCATTGGCTTGCATATCTCCTCCTATATTTTCTAGCGTTTTGAAATGTTGCACTGAGTTACATTGTGTTTCATCACTTTAATGGGCATTGGGTCTCAGGATGAAAGAAACAACATTTTTCATTTGGGTCCTGGGAAGAAAAAGTAAAATTACTCTGAATTTACAAAAAGAACCAAAAAAAACGCTTAATGCGTGTGTGTCTTTATGTGGTGGTGGTGCTTTGGAGATGATGCAAGGCAACTCTCCATTCAGTGTCAGTGAAGTTCAGGGATTTGATGGCGTTTAAGAATGAGACTTATTTGTAGTTGTGAAATATAATTATTCATGTTCAGAGATCCACACTGAACTCCCTTGGATCACACAGACGTGCGAATTGTGCCTTCATTGGATATGTGTGTGAATTCTCATGAATGCCTCTGTGTGCTTCACAAAATGAGGAATCATTCATCCCGCTGTGGACGGACGGTGTGGGGGCCGGGCAGATGAAGGAGTTTACTGCTCAGTTCAATATCATGAGTGTAAGACTGCTAAACTGATCAGGTGCATACAAATTGTGTGTTTCTGGTTTGGCATTGTCACCTGTCAGAACAAAACATACATTTTTCCTGACAGTTTGTAACTTGGAACAGCCCCTTGAAAATCCTCAGATCCTGTGCTTAAAGCTACAGTTGGTAACTTTTATGAATATTACTTTTTGTCATATTTGCTGAAACTGCCTCTTTATTCTGAGAGAAGTACATGAGACAAATAATCTGTGAAACAAAAAAAAGCATGTTCCTCCTCCTCCTCCTCCTCCTACTGCTTCTAATTGCATTTGCTAGTATCTACCACGGTGCACCAAAAACTACCAATCACAGCCGAGGAGTGTCTCAATTACTGTTTGTGCGCGGTCAGACTGTCAAACTAGGCAGTGCTGATCATATATGAATCAAGATCCTGTCACTTTTCTCGGCCCAAATGTTTTCAGAAACATGTTTTAGTGAACTGTTTAGCTGTAAAATGAGAAAGATAGTGACCTAGCCGCCATCTTGGAAATAGTCGACCGGAGTACCAAGAATTGCCCACAAAAAGGAGCAAACTTTCTTACTATACAGCTGAACAAAGCTATAAAATATGTTTTTGAAAACATGCAGTAACATCATCTTTATTCATATTTGATCAGTGCTGCGTAGTTTGACAGTTCACAGAACAATTGACAGCTGCGTTAAGACCAGTTCAGATCAATGATTCACAGTGAGACTAAACCATTTTAGAACGTTGCAGAGAAAAATTGCAGCGGTGCGAATTGGCCGATCTGAGCTTGACTCAAGCCAGCTGATGTAGCGTTGCACCACTATGGATTTTTTCAACGGACACCGATAACCGATACTTTCCTGCTTCTCATGGCCGATAACTGACACGATAACCAATAATTTTACATTTTTTGTATTTCAAAAGGAAGTGTATAACCTGTAGTTTATGTTCACCTGAGGGTAATAAGAGCCAAGATATAGTGAAAAAATATGGCTGATTTAATATTCCGTAGCCCTGACCTAACCAAATCAACCTGACATCACTACTGTTAACACAACAAAAACCAAGAACAGTTCTGACGCTTTCATACCTGCCAACATTAGACTGTGGAAAAAGACAAATGGCCTGCCCCTGCCCCCATATAACCCTACACTACACATGAACATAATAAATACAAGGATGTGAATGTAAAATGACTTTTAATCAGTATTAAATCTATAGTAAACAGTAAGAGAGGGGGAGATTATGAAGGACAGTGTTACTGTGTAATTCTCTGGTGTATCAGGCAAGTGTATAAACTACACTGCAGAGTGGAGTCTCGACTAACAGAGACAGACAGTGTATGAAATGTTTATATTGTCGCGCTGCATTTTTATAAACACACCCAGGCTCCGTCTCACAGCTACAGCTTTAAATAAAAGTACATAAACAACAATGTGAAAACAGGCTACTCCATTACAAGTTAAGTTGTGTATTCCAAATCTGATTTAAGTAAATGCAGAACTGTTAGTAACAAAATGTACATAAAGTATCAAAAGTAAATTGTATTCTTTTTTTAATTATTTCTTTTAGTCTTGTAAATTGTACCTCTTTGAACCTCAAACTGTTGTTGAACCTATGGTTTAATCGTTAACAATGCATTATATATTGTAAAATTATCATATGAATTGTTTAATGTAAAATCTTTTTTTTAAAAATATATTTTATTGTTGAATTTTTAACACTAACAATACACAAACACGGACAGAAAAATACAAGACAGAAAAAAAAGAAATAGACTACTATAACTATATGCCAGTTCGAAATGTGTCCACAAGAAGGTTGAGGTAGAGAAATGGCATCCATGGGGTAAAGACCATGAGTGGGCAGGGAAGGTCCAACAAAGACAGAGTGTCCTGATAAATCAAAGCACAGTGTACAGTCCAGTACAGGGAAGTAGTCCATTATGGTTAGTCAGCTTGACTCCTCATCCTTTTGATGTGCTCAATAAAAAGGTGCCAAAATTTTAGAGAACTCGATGAGGGAGTTAGACAGAGTATACTGAATTTCTTCAAAGTTCGATCTGTGAAGTACCTAGTGCCTATATCTGACAAAAATGTAGTGGAGTAAAAAGCACAATATTTCCCTCTGAAATCTAGTCGACTAGAAGTTTAAAGTAACATAAAATGGATATGAGAACAAGTACCCTACAACTTTTACTTTTAGAGTTCTTGAATAAGACCTTTTAGTTATTTTCCACCACTGAGTGAACTGAACCCAAATCTTTTTGGCAGGAATCAAACGCCACACAGATAGTATCAGATGGCAACCTGCATTACGACCCTCGCACATGCTGGCATAAAAGTTTTTCAAGCCGTATATCTTAACTTCAAAACTTTCCAAAAAAGAAGATAAGCTGGCTGTGATATAATCAAGTGCATTTGCTTCCTGTCTGTTTATTACCAACTATGGCTCGTCCTAATCAAACTTTGCATTAGTGCAGGGGTAGTGGATTGATTGAATATGCTCAATATTCTGATGAAAGTGAACGTGCACTCCAACATACACACACTTCCTGTCCATATGCATGCAGCCTTGTCTGCATGTACACACATGACGCACACACTCACATTCATACAGTACACTCAAATATCATCTCATTAATGGATAGACAGCTCTG